TAGTTGTCATTGTTGTTTGGCAGGCCTGGGCTGGATTGGAACCCTCCAGCTCCAGTGTATGTGGCCGGTGCCTTAGCTGCTTGAGCTACAGGCACCAAGCCACATCTTCCCTTCGTACTGGCATTGCCAGCCAGCTGCCACTTTGTCATTAAATGTGTTCCATGACACAAAGCCAGGCCCTGCTCTGAGGTAAACTCATATTTCCTGACCCTGTGACTTTGTGTGAATTCCCTTAGCACTGGAAATACTCACAGAAGGATCAGCTCTGTGCAAGGTAGGCAGTTAGGTGCATATGAAAGGCCATAAGCAGCTCATGTGGAAATTAAGTTCATAAGATATTCAGGGCAGGGAGAGGTCGTTTCCCTCCTTGGAATAAGATTTGAGGAAGAAGTCAGTTGTAGGACTGAGGAATGGCTGAATCTATTGCAGAGTTTGAGGTTGCTGTGAGCTATGACGCCGTGGCACTCTACCAAGGGCCACAAAGTGAGACTCTGTCTCAAAAAAAAAAAAAATGGACTTTGTTGAGGTTTAGTTGACATCTGACAAGCACACTGATATGTGTTCTAAGCATACATTCTCATGGATGTATGAACCTGCTAAGTAACCCCCCAGCCCCTTGTGGCTCCAGGCAGCCTGCAGTCTGCTCTGCTTTCTGTCCCTGTCTGGAACCAGCTCCATGTGTCTGAGACACGCCTGGAGATGAACATCTTCCATATGCTTATGGCCATTTGTGAGGCTTCCTTAGTAAAACGTCTGTTCAGATCTTGTGTTCACTTTCTAAGTTGGGCTGTCTTTTCATTAAATTGTGAGAGATCTTCACAGAGGGCTAGAATGCAGGTCCTGGGAAGGGTGATGTGTTGTTTGCATGTATCTCTCAAGTCTGGCTGACTTTTTCATTTTCTTACCAGTGTTTTTGGAAGAGCCAAAGTTTTTTAATTTTCCAACTTTTTTCTTGTATGATTGTTACTTTTTGTATCTTATCTTCAAAATGTTTAGCTGTTACAAGGTCTCAAAGACTTTCTCCTATTTATCTTTGAAAAGCTTTCTGGTTTTAGCTTTTAGTTCAGGCAAATTACTGCTCACAGTGTGAAGGGAGATACCTGCCAGTACGGCAGCACATGTTGGAAACTCTTTTTTCCCCCTGAATTGTGTTGGGGAGTGTTGATTGACTGTGTATGTATGGCTCTGTTTCTGGACTCTTTGTTCCATCCCACTGGTGTATGTTTATACTCTCAATAAATAGCACTTTCCAGATTAGTGTAACTTACAGCAAATTTTGAAAGCAGGTAGTGGGCTTGGTGCCTGTGGCTCAAGTGGCTAAGGCGCCAGCCATGTACACCCAAGGTGGC